TGCTGATCGTGATGATGAGGAGGAAGATGCGGATGCTGATGCTGATGCTGCTGGTGATGATGACTATGCTGATGCTGATGATGCTGCTGATGCTGATGATGACGATGCTGATGATGATGCTGCTGGTGACGACCATGCTGCTGATGATGCTGATGCTACTGTTGATGAGGATGCTGATGGTGATGATGCGGGTGCTACTGTTGATGCTGACGATCAGTATGCTGATGATGCTGCTGGTGCTGATGATGCTGCTGCTGATGCCGCTGATGCTGATGGCGATGATGATGCTGATGAGGCCGCTGGTGCTGATGATGCTGCTGATGACGACGTTGATGCTGCTTATGATGATGATGTTGCCGCTGGTGATTCTGACGGTGATGCTGGTAGTATTATGATGGTGCTGTTGCTGCGGATGATGATGCTGGTGATGTGTATATATATACATATCCTTATACATATGTATATATATATATATATGTATGTATAGGTATGTATATATATATATATACCACTCACCCACCGAATGTCCAAAACACCTAGGATTCAATAATCCCGACAAAAACGGACGGGGCCTGGACGGTGCTCGCCCGAAACCGGTGCACTTAAGGCGCCGCTCGCGTGATGCGAGCGGCTCAGCGTGGAAACGGGGGGCCCGCATCCAGCTCTACCTCGAAGCGCGACCCTTTCCACGACCTCGTCCGCGACTCCGACCTCTCCCCCGCGCTGTAAGCAGGGGGCGTCGATCGCGAGCCGGGGGAGGGGGAGGGCAAGTGGACAACATGGAGGCGACAGCAGAGCTCGGGGGCGGGGGGCAGTAGGAGGTAGGTGGGGGGTGGCTCCTTCTCCTCTCGAGCCGACCTCGAGCAGGAGTGCTGGGCTCCTCGCGCCTGTCGCGAGCTAGCCCAAAGGAGGAAGACTCGGCGGGGCTCGGATAGGCGTGAGCCTCCTCATCCAGCCTCGCCCTCACTTTGGTGCTGCTCAGTGTCGTCGGTGCTGGGGTCTGTGCTGGCGTTGGAGTGGGCGTAGGCGTAGGCGGTGGCGTAGGTGGAGTGGTAGGTAGAGTGCAGATCCCCGTCACGGCGTCTGTCGCTTTGAAGCGCCTGGTGGGCTCACTGGTGATGGTAACCTCAGCAGTCATTTCCCCGTCAGGCTGTCTGTGGGGCAGTTCGGTTTGCCTCCTCCCGCTAGCTACTGCACGGCCCCCTGCGGGCCAACGTGCAGGCGGCCTCGCGGGAGGGGGCGGTTCTCTAATGGGCAGTTCTGTCGCGGGGAAGTGTGCAGTCGTCCCGTCTAGATCTCGTCCATCAGCGCATCCATCCAGAGGGCCAGCGCGTCCTCCACAAAACCCGCTGGTGCAGGGCCCACGCATGCGGCCTTGTCGGCGTCGTGGAGCGCTGTCATGATGCACTGCCTGATCTCGTAGTCCCTGCAGTTGAAGAGGATCTTCGCCTGGCCACTCTAGTGCGCTTTCTCGAGCTTGCAGATCGGGAAAATGTCATGCACTTGGTGCTGGTCCATGGCGCTGACGCGCTCGATCACGGCATTGAGGCCGCCCTTGCTCTTCACGCCGATGTCCTGCTGAGCCGGCGTCTCCATCATCGCCATCGCGGCGCCTGGTGCCGGCTGCCAGTGGGCCTCTTCCATGTGATTCTCCTTCGCGGCGAATGGCTCGAGCGTAGTTGCGGTTCTCCTGCTCGATCGCTTCCACCAGTGGGTCCGTGTCGCTGACCTTCGCGGTCGTGATGATGCAACCCTTGAGCTCCCTGATCTGCTTCGGGTTCCGGTAGGTCGCCCGCAGGAGGATGAGGATCAGGTCGCGCGTGTCGTTTGGGATCTTGGGGACTACCTTCGGCTTGTGCGCTGCACCTCTCCTGCGGCGCACCCTGGCGATGGGGGCTTTCTTGGGGTCGATCTTCTGGTCGTTGGGCTCCGCGTCCTGGTCCTCGGCCTTCTCGCGAGGGTCCTGTCCGCGTCCTTGGCTCCTCGAGCGGTCTCCGGGCTTGGATCTGGCCCCGTTGGAGCCACCGTTGCCAGTCGTGGGGGATGATCCCCGCGGGGCGCGCCAGCTCGGTCTCCGAGGTGCAGTCGCCACCGGCGGGGGTCCCGAGCCCGTGGGCATCGCGGGCTGGAGTAGCTGCAGGGCATGGTGATAGTGACAGCGCGTGGGTGCCCAAGACGTCTTGAGGTAAATGACTACGGAGGTGGCCTCGGAGCTCGGTGTACTCTTCATAGGATTACCGGCAAATCGGGCAGGTCCTGGTGAGGCTTTTCGGGGCGCCGGGGGGATACGGGGCCCAGGTCTGGTCTGTCTTGCACGCGTGTGATCTCCATGCTGCTATGATATGGTGTTGTGTGCCCACTCGTGTCGGGGAGGTCGTACTACATATGATGCACTCGTTGGTGAGCGTGAGCTGAGATAGCATGCGACATATTCCATGTTCGCCTCCTAGTGCCATTCCTCGTTGATGTGCATAAAGTGCTCGTGCGGTCTTCCAGGTACTCATGCATGGGGTCCCCGCGGATGTTTTCAACTCGCACACGAACAGCTCAGCCTCGTCGGATGGGGCGAGCTCTGACGGGAGCTTGGCGGAGGCGCCAGGCGGCGCGGCAGCGCGCCGAATATATGCGGCCCTCGTGATGCTCACGTCGATCCCGCAGAAGGCTTCGGCGATCTCGGGCTCCATAAACAGCGTGATGATGCTGCCATTCCAGTCCAGCAAGTCCAAGGGTTCGGTAGTGTCGTAGGTGAGGGGGTCCTGGATGTCGGTGGCCATCTGTCTGGCGATCGGATGCGCATCGTGGCTGATGTAGCCGTCGTCGGTCCGGGTGAGTGGCGCGACGGGGAGGTCGCTGTCTCGCAGGAAGCGCTCGATGCGGAACTCGCCGAGCAGAGCGGAGACAAACTGTTGGGATTCCGCAGGATGTGCCGCGGCGCCTGAAGTAGTTTCAGCCGTCGGATTTTCAGTTCGATGGAGCTCGGCACGATGTCCCATCTTCGCCATACCTCGGCCGCGGGGATCGCCTTGCGGTGCGTGTCGCGGTGGTGTCGGCAGCCCTTGCCCTGTAGTATGGCCCGCAGCTTCTTGCCTAGGCATAGGTCGAGCTTTTTGTAGTCCGTGGCGTGGAGGTAGTAGGTCTCGGCGGCGCTGATGGCGGCTTCGTAGACAACGGCCTGGGATACGAGTCGCTAAGTCGGCGTGGGGCGCGGCTGGACCAGAAGTGGTGGTGCTGGCACCATCCTGCGTTCGCTGCTCGTAGTCGTGCTTCCCGTTCTCCATTGAAGGATGCTTTGGCGTCGAACATGCCCCCCCCCCCCGCGTGCTTCATCGAGGTCAGTCTCTTGCAGTTGACGTGGGGGTCGGTGAAGACGGCGCGGTGAAGGGACTTCGATGGGATGCTATGTACGATCTCCTCCTTGGTCTCGTTCAGGCTGAAGCCTCCCTGGCGAAGTGGCTGGCGCAGTACCTCAAGGTCGCGCTCGATGGTGGCAGTCAGGGCGTGGATCTCGTCGATGCGGAGGTCGTGTAATTGCCCTCTGGAGTCAATGGCTTGTTTGCGTGGCCCGACTCGAGGAGCGATGTGGAACTTCAGGATGTCGCCCACGAAGACCTGGCGACTGATGTCCTGTACTGGCCCGTCGGGATCCCAGGTAGGAGCGCATGACTGGAGCATGCTGCTGGTGTGGGTCGATGCTGTGTCGGTTCGCCACTGCTCGAGCTGGTGGTTGTAGACCTTCATGAAGGCGTCGGGCTCGTTCGAACATCCCATGGGGCCTCCTTCGCGGTTGCGCATGATGAGCGTGCCGTCGCTAGCCTCGACGATGGTCTGGGACTCCGTGCGTGTAAACAATTGGCGGTCGCCGTCGCGAAAAGTCGGTAAAACGTGCTCGTTGATGGCGTCGTGGTGGGTGCACCCGAAGGCGTTGCGGCCGTCGTGGGAGCGGACAGCGGAAGCGATCTTCGCCCGTCGGAGCTTGCTGGCACGCCGAGCTCGGGTCGTCGGTGTGGGATGAGTCGGAGGAAGATGATGGTGATGATGATGATGATGATGATGATGATGAGGAGGAGGAGGAGGAGGAGGAGGAGGAGGAGGAGGAGGAGGAGGAGGGGGAGGATGAGGA